CACCTGTAATCCCAGCTACTCAAGAGGCTGAGGCATGAGAAATGCTTGAACCCAGGAGGCAGAGGTTGTTGTGAGCCTAGATCATGCCACTGTACAGCCTGGGCAACACAGGAAGATTCTACTTTAAAAAAAAAAAAAGCCAAGCGTGGTGATGCGCCATGTAGTCACAGCTACGCAGGAGTCTGAGGGGCATGATGGCTTGAACCTGGGAGGTTGAGGCTGTAAGGAGCTGGGATCGTGCCACTGCATTCTTGCCTGGATGGACTCAGACAGGCAGTGGGACCCTGTCTCTAGGGGGAAAAAATGACATTGGTTGCTTCAGCCCTGAAATCTATATCTCTGAATTCTTAGTTTTCTTTCTTTCTTTTCTTTTTTTTATTCTGAATCCAGCACTGTACTCACATGCCTTTGGGTCATGAAATGAAGACCTGTGTCTTCTGTACTTATCCTTCATATAGACAGCGTTTCTTTTCTCTTGGGAGTGTGAGGGAAGTTGATAAAATCCATTTTAACTTATAGATTTGTTTAGCAGCTTTTAGTGTGTGCTCACATACATTGTAACATTTTAATTCTCATTATAACATTGTGAGGAAGAAATTTAAAACTCAAAGAGATTAAATGACTTGCCTAAAGTCACAATCCTTAAACTTGAATTTGGGTCTTTTGACTTTCCACATCCCACACTGAATCTTCAACACATTTTCAACAGGCTTTTTTTACTCAATTTCTTTCTCTCCAGTGGAAAATAAATGGACATCATGTTAAACAGCTAAAGGCCCTCTTTGGAGAGGCCAGCCATTCCAAGTCAGTAAGTTTACGCCATGCAGCCCCTCACTGCCTTTGCCAAGAATTCCCCTAACACAGAAGTACAGCTGCCCTTGTTTATATTTCTTTCACCCTACCTTCAAATAGCCATACGCTGCAGTTAAAGAAACTTCAGGGGGCTGCGTGCGGTGGCGCACACCTGTAGTCCCAGCACTTTGGGAGGACAAGGCAGGAGAATTTCTTGAAGCCAGGAGTTGAAGACAATCATGGGCAACAAAGCAAGACCCTGTCTCTACAAAAAATTTAAAAATTAGCTGGGCACCGTGGCATGTGCTTTTAGTTTGTGCCCGCTACTCAAGAGGCTGAGGTAGGAGGCTTGCTTGATTCCAGGTGTTTGAGGCTGCAGTGAGCTATGATGGTGCCACTGCAACATGGTGATGATACTCTAATATCATGGAGAGCAAGACCCTGTCTTGCAAAAAAAAAAAAAAGAATCTAGAGGGAAGGAAGGCTTTTTTTTTTTTTTTTTTTAAAGACAGCCTTGCTCTGTTGCCCAGGTTGGAGTGCAGCCTTCGCCTTGCAGATTCAAGCAGTTCTCTTTCCTCCCTCAGCTTCCCAAGTAGGTAGGACTACACACCTGGCTAACTTCTGTTTTGTTTTTTTTCCTCTACCTCGGCCTCCCTCTGTATTTTTTTTTTTAATAGAGGTGGGGTTTCACCATGTTGGCCAGTATGGTCTTAAACTCCTGAGCTCAGGTGATCTGCCTGCCTCGGCCTCCAAAGTGCTAGGACTTTAGGTGTAAGCCACCGTGCCTGGCTGGAAAGGAAGTCTTTTTATTTTTTTGAGTTGGAGTCCTTTTATTTTTGAGACAGAGTCTTGTTCTGTTGCCCGGGCTGGAGTGCAGTGGCATGATTTCGGCTCACTGCAGCCTCCGCCTCCCAGGTTCAAGCAGTTCTCCTACCACAGCCTCCCAAGTAGCTAGGACTACAGGCATGCACTGCCACGCCTGACTAATTATTTATTTATTTATTTTTAAAGTAGAGATGGAGTTTCACCATGTTGGCCAGGATAGTCTTGATCTCCTGACCTCGTGATCCACTCACCTTAGCAGGAAGTGTTAATTTAGCCTCCAACCATCCCCTTTCCACTCTATTGTGGGAATGTCAGAGTGCCCTCTTCTGGTGAGAGGGAGATATTTTGTCAGTTTTTCCCGTTTAGAAATGGAGTATTTCCCTGTGGCTCACGCCTGTAATCCAAGCACTTTGGAGGCCAAGACGGGCGGATCACCTGAGGTCGGGAGTTCAAGACCAGCCTGACCAACATGGTGAAACCCCATCTTTATTCTAAAAAAAAAATTTTTTTTTTAAAGAAAAAGACCCTTATGGAGACCTGAGGCTGCGGAAAGCTGGTGGGTTTCATCAGGTGGTGAAAGAGTTGTGACTATCCAAGATTGTTTCATTTTTAAATCATAGAATAAAAATGAGCTTCTACACACACACAAAAAAAGAAATGGAGTATTTCCATTTGAAGATTTTGTGCACCCTCACTATGTTGGGTGCTGTGGAATAGATTCCAGAATTAATCTTACTCATTAGACATGATCAGTTCTTCCTTTAAGACTCATGCCTATGATCACATGGGAGGCCAAGGTGGGTGGATCACTTGAGGCCAGGAGTTGAAGACCAGCTAGCCTGGCCAACATGGCAAAACCCCTATCTCTACTAAAAATACAAAAATTAGTGGGACATGGAGGTGCACATCTGTAATCCCAGCTCCTCGGAAGGCTGAGGCAGGAGAATTGCTTGAACCCGGGAGGCAGAGGTTGCAGTGAGCCAAGATTGTGCCACTTCACTCCAGCCTGGGCAACAGAGCGAGACTGTCTCAAAAGAACAGCAACAAAAAGGAGCAATGACTTCTGCCTTCATATAAGCTGAGGATTTTAATTCTAAAGTCCTTACCTTTTATTATGTTATTGGTCTCTCTGGCTGTTTATCCTAGTGTCCACCAGGGGCACTTGGCCTTAAAATTTACAGTGGGGTGGCCAGGCATGGTGGCTCACGCCTGTAATCCCAGCACTTTGGGAGGCCAAGATGGGTGGATCACCTGAGGTCAGGAGTTCGAGACCAGCCTGGCCAACATGGTGACACCCCATCTCTCTAAAAAATAATAATAATTTAAAAAATAATAAATTTCCAGTGGGGTATGGAAATTGCAGACCAGCTCCCAGAAGCACTGTAACCTGTGGTGGTGTTGGGTACCTCAGGGCATTTTTTTCCCCTGCATGTACATGTAACTATACTTGTATGTGCATTTTTGTGTGTATCCTTTGTGGTATGTCCTTATATCTATTGGGTTTCTGCAGTTACATCTATTCATCTTTAAATACAAGGTCTTGGAACCATAAATCAAGTGAAAAGAATTTTTCATTACCTACTCTGACCCTCATACTAGGTTAATTTAAGTAAACTAAAACAACAGTTCTGGAAGTTGGCAACACTAGAAATCTGGACTAGGGTTAGAAGAAAGAGATCATTAATGTAGGCTTCCTAGCTATCCTGGTTGATCCTAGGCTTCCGACTGACCCCTTGTACTTTTCCTAGGTAGTGGGACCTTGTGTTCCACCCATATCATCTAAAATACCATATTCACTACATCATCGATTTTATAGGTCTTTAATCCCTGCTTGTGGAAATCTAAGAGGAGGTGGAAAAAGAGAAGTGCTTCTTCTGCCTTGTTTACCCTATATCAGAGAGATAGACAGCAGGCATAACCCACAAGGGCCCCTCTGTCACCTTCAGAGGACAGTTACCCCCCTCCTCTCATGTAGCAACATGGTCACTTTTCCAAAAATAAAGGCAGGGATTAGGATTGGCTGTTCCTAGAACAAGTGTTCTGGTTTATTAATACATTTTTGTAGTTGCCCTGTTTACCCCCAGGCCTGAACTTTAATTCCTTCGCTATAGTATGAGACATAACTCTAACCCCAGTAAAAACTTCTCCCATTAAAATGATGGGTTGCAGGTCCCTTGAGGTTTCTACAGGGATGCTTGTCTGGGGAAGATGTACACAGATGTGAAATGGCAGCGATACCCTTACAGAGACTCCCAACTCACAGTGACACAGCAGCATGAACAGGGTGACATGAATCCAGAAATAGCCTCTCACATATTTACTGGCTTATTGTTTAGCTGAGGGGTTTCCAAATCTGAGACTACTCCTTTGTCTTCCATTTAGTGACGATATCCCACTCCCCCACCAAATAAAGGAAAAAGACCAAGATATTAGTGGATTCTATCTTTTAATTTGGGAAAGAAGCCTGTGGATTTTATTTCTCTGAAGAGTCCTTTCCATAGATGTGATTTCTAGTGGTAAGAAGCCTTATCAGTCTCCTACCTCAGTGATTTAAAAAACAAAAACGAAAAACAGTTCTGCCAGACATAAATGTCATCTGTTTGTATTTATGCGGTTTGCTCTGCCCAATCGACCTTTCTGCCCAGGTTTAATGATGCCACTTAAAAAGCCATTCATACGTCCTCTCTCCTTTTAGAGCTTTCAAGCTGAAATTGATTTCCTTATTCAACCTCCCTCTCCCCCTTCCCACCCACTGCCAACCCACGTTCCTTCCCCCAACCTGATTATATGAAAGTGCGATCACTGGGCAGTGCATTTTTTTTTTTTTTTTTTTTTTGCCACGTCTATTAAGAAGTAGCGACAGTTTAGCTGCTAACAGATACCACCTGCTTTAGGCTCCAGGAAGAGAAGCATAAAAATCAGCTCATCAGTGGAGTAGTGCTCTGTGTCCTCAGCTAAGTGAAGGAACAATGCTTCAGGCCAGCAGGGGAGGACTCTGTATGGGGAGGAGCTCAGGACAGAGGCTGCTGCAACTAAAAACCCTGGCTTTGTTTTTGTTGGGATCAGAGATAATAATTTGAGGACTTTGTTCTCTTTTCCTCTCCCTGTGACCTCCCTAATAGGCTACCGGCTGGTATTAGAGCTTCCACTGCCTTGCTTATGCTTATTCCTACATACTCACCCCATCTCCACCTTTCCTGGCCTGGGGCACTAGGCTCAGATTATGAGCTACCTTCTAGTAAAACAATAGATTTAAATATTTTTACCTTGGACCCTCAGGTAGCAATGAGGTATTTGAAATAGGTCAATTGCAGTTTTGTTGGTAGAGGATGTTGAAGCAGGTGTGTGATTCCCCATTCTTAGGATGGGGAAATAAAATGCCCAGAAAAACTACAGTAAGGGGGGATTTGTTAAATGAATGACACTCCACAACTGTGCAATTTTCTTATGGCCCTACTACAACCCAAGCCCACGAATATTCTGTCCACCTTGGCAGAAGATGGGGATAACAACCTGTTGCATTGAGTATTTGTGCTCTCTGATTGGATGAACCCTAGAGGGTCAGGAGTACAAATTGGCTTGGGAATATGATATGACAGATGCTGTCTCCTGAGCTTCTCTCTCAGACCTCCCACCATTTCTGTTTCTTTCTTTTGACTGATACTACCTGAGAAAAACAATCACACTCACTTCTCAGCATGACTGGTGCCCAGGGCAGAGGCTGCAACATTTCCCATCACAGGAAGCAATTTGATGACAGCAGCAGTGGCAGCCCTGGAGCATCAAGCCATGAAAGCAGCATTGCAGCAGCTTTTCAAGCTAGTAACCCCCAATTCCCATTTCTCCACCACCACCCACATGTGAACTCGGCCTCAACAGGAATATAGCCTGGGTAGTCAAGAGCAGACCCTCACTCTGGACAATCCCTTTTGGGGAAGCAGAGCTCCTGCCCGTCCCTCCCAGCAGAGACTGTCCATCAAACTGCTCAACCCTGATTTCTTACCTTGCTTTTCACCATGAAGATTTTTTTTTAGGGAGTTTCGCCCTGTCACCAGTCTTGCTCTGTCTACAGAGTGCAGTGCCGTGATCTTGGCTCACTGCAATCTCTGCCTCCCAGGTTCAAGCAGTTCTCCTGTCTCAGCCTCCCAAGTAGCTGGGACTACAGGTGCACGCCACCATGCCCAGCTAATGTTTGTATTATCAGTAGACACCGGGTTTCACCATGTTAGCCAGGATGGCCTCCATCTCTTGACCTCGTGATCCGCCTGCCTCGGCCTCCCAAAGTGCTAGGATTACAAGCATGAGCCACCACGCCCGGCCTGTTCCTCCTTGTTAAGGCCTTTCCTTCTCCCACACTGTAAGAAGATGAGTCTAGCCGGGCGCGGTGGCTCACGCCTGTAATCCCAGCACTTTGGGAGGCCGAGGCGGGTGGATCATGAGGTCAAGAGATCTGGACCATCCTGGTCAACACGGTGAAACCCCGTCTCTACTAAAAATACAAAAAAATTAGCTGGGCATGGTGGCGTGTGCCTGTAATCCCAGCAACTCAGGAGGCTGAGGCAGGAGAATTGCCTGAACCCAGGAGGCGGAGGTTGTGGTGAGCCGAGATCGCGCCATTGCACTCCAGCCTGGGTAACATGAGTGAAACTCCGTCTCAAAAA